GAGGCTCTGCGGCGGGGGGAGGAGGAGAGGAGGGCACGTGAGGCGAGGAGGGCTCGCCTCGTCCAGAAGGCCCTCGAGGCTAAAGAAGCCTCGTCTGCCGACTCCGCCTCCGGGAGTGCCAACGCGGCCGCCGCCGCTGACACCCCGGAGACACCTGAGGCGGGGACTCGGCCCATCATGGGTCCCCCGCCGCCTCCTCCACCTCCGCAGCGGCGGCCACCACCGCCGCTGCCAGAGACGCCTGTGTCGAGGACACAGGCCGCCGCCTCGACATCCCCGTCGGGGCGGCAACAGTCCTCCGCGGCTCCAGGGCGCCTCGCCAAGCGGCAGACGCCCCCGAGCTGGTCGCCCTCGGAGGGTGACGCCCCTCGGGCGAAAAAGCCCCAGCAGGGCTCGAGCCACGCCCGATCTGCCTCCGCTGAAGGGAGGCTTCACCGAGAGGGCTCGGGGCACCCCCGCATCCGTTACGGGGGGAGCGCCTCCTCGGAGTTAGAGGACCTAGTCTAGTCTTTCAGTCTAGTCATTTCCTCTTTTATCCTTTTATCTTTTTCGCGCTATTGCGCTTTTTTACCAGGTGCATTTCTCTCGGTGTTTTTTACCTTTTTTGTGGTCAGTCAGGTATCTGCGTGCGCCTTTGCCTCATGTTATACGCGCCCTTTTTGCGCCTTTTTAACCACGCCTTTTATTCTACAGTGGAACTGTAGAGGCCTCCGGGCCAACTACCAGGACCTACAGTCTCTTATCCGTTGGCGCACACCCCTTGTTTTAGGTCTCCAGGAGACCAAGCTTGCGCCAAATGTCACCCTTGCCATCAAGGGCTACTCTGTTTTTAGGAGAGACCTGGACACCCCTACCATTGCCCATGGAGGTGTGCTTCTGGCGGTTCACCACAGCGTACCTGCTCGCCAGGTGCCGCTGCAGACTCCCCTGCAGGCGGTGGCCGCCAGAGTTGATTTCAACCACCGGGAACTGACTGTGTGCTCCTTATACCTTCCACCAGGTATAGCGCTCCCGGTGGTTGAGCTTCATCGACTTGTCGATGAGCTTCCACCTCCGGTCCTGGTAGTCGGCGATTTTAACGCCCATAGCCTGGCGTGGGGATGCGACACGACTGGCACTCGTGGTCGACTTTTAGAATCTTTTATCCGCGATGAGGCGCTGTGTATTTTAAATACAGGACAGCGCACCCATTTTACAACACCCTCCGGTCAAACATCGGCTCTGGACCTGAGCTTAGTCAGTCCGCGGCTAGCTCAGCTTTTTACCTGGTCCGTCCATGACGACCCACTCGGGAGCGACCACTTCCCAGTGTGGCTGGAGCACCAGGAGTCCCCAGTGTCGGGCAACCGTCCACCTAGGTGGAATGTTCGGAAAGCCGACTGGGGCGAATTCCAGGCCGCTGTAGAGGCCTCTGTTTTAGCCAGAGCCGACGCCTCTGTGATGTCTACAGAGGATTTTACATGTTTACTCAATGACTCCGCAAACGGGTGCATACCCAAGACGTCGAGTCAGCCTCGTCGTCCTCCGGTCCCGTGGTGGACCAAGGAATGCGGAGATGCGATTCGTTTAAGGAAACGCGCTTTTAGAAAGTTTGACCGGAGTAGTACTACTGAGAACCTCATCGCTTTTAAGAGAGCGCGGGCTTTTGCCCGACGCGTTTTAAAGGAGGCAAAGGCTGTTTCATGGCGCACTTATGTAAGTTCCTTAAACCGTTTTACTCCTACGACCCAAATATGGGCACGCATGAAGCGCATTGAAGGCCGGTTCAGCTCTGTTCCGCTTCCGGTTTTAAGAGTGAACAACACGGACATATCTCACCCTTCAGACGTCGCAGAGACGATAGGTCGTGCACTCTATCAGCGCTGCCGAGGAGAGCCGTCCTCACGACCTGCACCAGCCGCCGTGGACTTCAGCACAGCTGAAAATTTGGTGTACAACGAGCTTTTCTCTATGGCTGAGCTCACGTCTGCCATCAGCTCGTTGCGCAGCGTCTCAGAAGGTCCGGATGCTGTCCACAACGACATGCTCCGTCATCTCCCAGCAGTTGCCCTCGAGGCGCTGCTAGCAACCTTCAATTCGCTTTGGGAGACTGGCACTTTCCCTGAGACCTGGCGGGAAGCCACTATCATTCCTATCTTGAAGGCTGGCAAGTCGGGACATGACCCTCTCCATTATCGGCCCATCTCTCTCACATCATCGCTATCAAAGCTGATGGAGAAGATGGTCAATGTGCGTTTTAGCTGGTTTCTGGAACATCATGGTGTTTTTACAAACGCCCAGTGCGGTTTTAGAAAGCACCGCAGCCCTGTTGACCACATTTTAGCCCTTGACACCGAGATACGCACCTGTTTTACTGAAAGGAAGCACCTTGGAGCACTGTTCTTTGATATTGAGGCGGCCTATGATACAGTCTTACGACACAGCATACTTTTCAAAGTATATAAGTACGGCATACGCGGCCGGATGGGCCTCTTTATCGAGAACTTTTTATCGGGTCGTCGGTTTAAAGTCCGAGTCGGTAACCAGTTGTCAAGCAGTTTTATCCAAGAGAATGGAGTCCCTCAGGGAGGGGTGCTTAGTGTGGCGTTATTCGCAGTGGCGATTAACGATATCGCCGATGATCTCCCGGTCTCTATCGGCAGATCGCTTTTTGTTGACGATTTTGCCATCTGGTTCGCCGCTTCCAGCGCTCGGCACATGGCCAGACAACTGCAGCTTGCAGTCAGACGGCTTGAGAGATGGAGCCGCGACAATGGTCTCCGTTTTTCAACGAGGAAGACTGTTGCCATGCATTTCTGTCGCCGCCGCTGCGCCGACCCTACATTGGGTATCCGTCTGTACGGACAGACGATCCCCACGCAGCCGGTGGCGAAGTTTCTTGGTATGACGTTTGACGGACGTTTGACGTATAAAGAACATTTTAGAACGCTTCGGGAACGATGTTTTAAATCCCTGAACGTTTTAAAGTGTGTTGCCCGCACATCATACGGTGCGGATCGCAAAACTCTGCTCCTCTTGTACCGGTCGATCATCCGATCGAAGCTGGACTACGCGTGTTTTGTTTATGATTCTGCAAGTGAGTCCAGCAAGAAGTCCCTGGACGCAGTACATCACGCTGCGCTCCGCGTTGCCACCGGGGCTTTCCGCACTTCTCCAAAGAGTAGTCTTCTGGCTGAAACGAATGAGCCACCTCTAGCTCTTCGTCGCCAGATGCTGGGGATGCGTTACACTTTGAAACTTCGCCAATACCCAACGCATCCGACGTACCCGTACGTCTTTTCACGTCACGCTACTCGATCTGACGGGAGGGTACGACCGTCGTTTGGAGAACGCATGGGAGGTCTTTTTTCAGCTGCTAACATATCCTTGCGTGGCGTTCGGCGTACCTGGGACACGCCCCCTCCACCCTGGAAAAACGCCAATCCGCAAGTGGACCTCTCACTATCGACTGTTAAGAAGGACAACTTGTTGCCTGCTGAGGCGCGAGCCAGAGCCTTAGAGCACATTGCCGTTTATGATGGTTTTATCACGGTTTATACAGACGGCTCGAAGACAACCGAGGGAGCGGGCTGCTCTTTTGTCGCTGGTCGTGACACCCGCTCGTTTTCTCTGCCACCTTCCGCCTCGGTGTTTTCTTCAGAGCTAGTCGCTATAGAGAAGGCTTTGTGTTTCATCGAGGTTTCTGGCAGTCCCTTTTACTTGATTTTATCTGATTCTCTTAGCAGCTTATTGGCCTTACGTACTTTTAACTCAGCTGACCCCATCGTGCGGGACATTTTAACTCGGCTTACGTCGGTGGAGCAATCTGGAAAATCAGTCCGTTTCTGCTGGATTCCCAGTCACGTCGGCATTGAAGGCAATGAGCTTGCTGATGCTGCTGCCAGACGCGCAGCCGCAGCACCCTGCACTCGGCGCTTGCCTCTGCCTGCCCGGGATTTTTATCCGCTGGTGCGACCCTTCATGCTTTCAAAGTGGCAGGCAGAGTGGGATTTGTGTGTAAGGAACAAGCTGAGAGAGTTGAAACCAACTCTAGAGCCTTGGCAGTCTTGCCTGCAAGGCAATCGTTTCCAGGAAGTGGTCCTCTGCAGACTCCGTATTGGTCACACATACGCGACGCACAGCTATCTCCTTTCAGGAGGTGAGCAGCCTTTGTGCAACAGGTGTTCCGTGCCTCTAACCGTCGCTCACGTTCTTTTATCTTGCCCACTCTTTGAACGGAACCGGACACGCTACCTGGGCTGTATTGCTCCTGGTACCACTATCCGCCACCTATTGGGTGACGAGTCACCCTGGGTTTTATCCGGCAATATTTTTTCCTTTATCCGTTCGGTCAACTTCCAGGTGATTTACTCAACCTGACCCAATTCCTCTCTAGTCTACTTGTCTAGTCAGTTGATTGTTACGACGCTCTTGCGTTGTTCTATCTTACCTTGCCGTTTTTATCAAGTCTTTTACTTTCTTAGCCTTGGTATATAGAAGGTCTCTTGTTTTGAAACACTTGTTTTATTAGAGTGACGTTATGGGCGCAAAATGACCTTCGCAGTTGGCGCGCCCTAAAGCCCCAATAAACAAACAAGGATGCATGACTAGGGCTTGTTATAACAGCTGTTGAATCCACAGTTTTATTGTAACATTAAACATGTACCAATGGCATACTTATGCAGATTTATTGGGCAAAAATTCTTCTTCTTTTTTGCAAGTAAAACAAGTTTCAGCCCTCAGCCACTGCTTTTTCGCTTATTCATTCGAAGTTTCGTTTTGCCTTCTCAATTTTCATTTCGTTTGTCATAGATAGCGGCTTCATCGTTTGTTGTTTGCGGTAGCCACATAGTAGTGCTCAGCTGTTATGCTGATTGATTTTGGATAGTCTGCTCCAGCCATTTCTAGGCGGCAAGTCACTCCACTTATCATTTGTATCGCCCCTTGACCTGTTTCCCCCACCCCCGCGCCTGTACCCTCCCGGCGGCCCGGCTGACGGTCAGTGTGTGTCCGTGTTCCAGAGCCGCAGCTGATGCTGACACAAGGGCCGGGCGTGGTGGGCCCGCCTCAGCCGGGCTACCCGGCGGCGGCGGCGCCCGGCTACGCGCCCGGCTACCAGAACGGGCCGTACGGCCAGGCGCCGGTCGGCGTGCCGCCCATGCCCGGCTACCAGGGCTACTCGATGTGATGCGCGCCGCTAACCGTGTGACCCACACGCAGCCGGCACTGAGAACCATTCCATGCGAGCGAGCGAGCCGCGCCGCCACTGCCGCCGCCGCGCCACACACGCGCGCCCGGCGCCCGGCCTACGCTCCATGCGATGGAGACGCACGAGTGAACGAGCGCGCGAGCGAGCACCGCCCGCGAGTTGTTATTGTTCTGTCCGTACTGTGCGGTAGCGTGTGCAGCAAAATTGTGAGACGACGAGACGCTATCAGGAGGTAATTATCACTATTATTTAGCCCTAGATGTATTTATGGTGAGGCGAGTCCGAATGACGCGCAGGGCGGGCAGCGCTTGGTGACAGGAGAGAGAGCGAGCGAGCGAGTGCGGCCGACCGGGGCGGGGTGTCTGTCGGCCGTGGCCGGCCCGTCAGTGTCGTCGGTCCGTGTAGCCGGCAGTGAGCTGCGCCGCCGCCGTGTGAACGTGTTGTTCGTCGTGTTGGTGGTCCTCTTCCCCCGTAGCACGGCGCGGCTGTACATACCGCGCTGGCGGTCCGCCGGCCGCCGCCGCCGCCGTCGCCGCTGCTCTGGCGGCGGCCCAGCAGTCCCGTGCGTGTTTGGTAGCCGGCTTTTTGAGCAGTCATTTATCATCTATCTATTCACAACACTCTGAGTATTCTCATGATAACGTATTTAGTCAGTGTTAGTGCTGCCCCCGCCGCCAGGCAGCCGGTCAGTGAGCCCCGCACGAGGGCGCTGGCCGGGTGGCGCGGCGCACCAGGGCCACCCGCCCACCCGCCGGGCGAGCGAACGCAACCAGGCCGGCACCCCAGAGCTATCTTCGAGTCGGGAATATAGCGGACAGGTAACCGCCGAGCGTTTGGGACGGGCGAGGTCGATCTGAAAGGGTTGCGAAGAGATTAGAAGAGGTCGTTGAGAGGAGACAGCGCTGTTTCGGTGAAGGCCCAGTCGGTCAATGCGTTTGCTTATGATAAAGTTCCACTAGAACTCAGCTGTGCGGAACTGAGACCGGTGAGCAGCACACGACTTGGTATTTACAGTCACCGTGGTAAAGGTGACCGGCGAGCACTGCCTGCTAGAATCGGGTAAACATTGAATTAAAGGTAGTGTGCCAGCTTTCTTGGACCGTATGGAGTTAATGGCCCAGATAAGGAGAACCGGATTTTTAGAACTTATCCATACCTTCAAAACTCATGGAAACGTCTTAAATTCTTCAAATTTTGAGTACCCCAGTGTGAAATTCGCCCCGACGGGTTGTCGGTCGTACCCCAACCACATTTCACATCACTATGAACAATAAATGCACACACTGAAATCGCTATTACCTATATGCTCATCCAATCAAGTTTCGATAAACCCGTTCATCATCAGCTCCTGCGGTTCCGAACACGCCTGTTAGGTGGTGCGGTAGACCACGCCCAAAGCCAGGGCCCCGGTAACGTGAGGTAGCCGAGTCAGGGCAGCGTGCGCTGACCCAAGCCGGAGCCGCGCGTCCTCCCGGTGTCATGTGATAGCCCGCGGCTGCCCGCGGGGATGCGGTAGACCGCGCCCAAAGCTGCGGCCCCGGCTTGGGTCAGCGCACGCTGCCCCGACTCGGCTACCTCACGTTACCGGGGCCCTGGCTTTGGGCGCGGCTTCTGCTCATACTTTGTGGTGCGGTGGTGGTGCGTCGGGCTGCGCGCTCTGACTTCGGCCAAGAAAAATGCGTCAGCTGATCATTGTCATTCCTGCCACTTGCGTGTGGTGAAATGGGGTCATAACTTATAAGACGGCTTTTTCATATCAATTATTTTACATAAAATCATATTTCAAACCATAAATAATGTTCGACAGCCAAATAAAAGAAACAATACCAATACGGGCTTACAGTTTAAGGCTCGACATTGTGTTGTCTACGATTAGACAGCTGATAACTCATTCCCGTACGTCGTATGGTCGTAACACTATAATGACCTTTGCTTATTGTCACAAGTGCGCCGCATTCGCGATTGTTGCCCGACGCCTGTTTGCAGGTGAGCCCACTACAGTTGTTATACATATCTAAAAACCGATAAACTTTTAGGCGAAAAAGGCACTATTCCAGGCCCATTTTTGATTTTCTTTGCGATATTAGGTAAAAACAGAAGCTTCTTATCCTAGGAAAAATAAAATGGGAAATCTTTCAAAGGTGGCACACTACCTTTAACCCGCGCCCCACTGGGGGGGGCTATTTATAGCCCCCCCTCCTGTTTTTCTGCAATAACTTCCAAACCGCTTGACGGATCGACGCCAAACTTTCAGTACCTTCGGCTGCATCAATTTGACACCTTGTGTCAAAATTTGAACTTCGTAGCTACCATAGGTCGGCCGGAAATGACGTCAGAGTGACGTCATGTTCGGCCGATTTCGACGCAAAACATTGAACCACGGCAATCGCTCCCATGAGCTCAGTTTTTAAGATAGATCCAATTTCTTTGCATGAAAGAACTCAGAATTGACCGCGCTATCAAACTGCTATCTCGGATTTTCAAAATTTTGAAAATTTCGAAAATTTTATATAATAATATTCAAAATTTGTATTTTTATATTTTTTCAAAAAGTTTTTGACTTTTCGAAAAAACCGGAATATATGTGACAGAACGCATGATTATGACTAACTCTAGCAAGTTTTAGCTAAATATCTTCAAAAATGGCCAAGTTATACGCATTATTGCAAAAAATTCACAATTATTAATTTTTCAAATCAATTTTTCAGTACGTATTTGGCATCGTACACCAATATAAATGGCACCATCGTGTTCCTGAGCTCAAACTGCATCCAATAGACACCTTTTTTGTTGAAAAATTTCAACTTCAAAATTTGACCTTTTTTGACCTGAAAGTGACCTGACCTAAGCTAAATTCGACTCAAAATGACCTCGAATGACATAGACGACATCAAATTCGAAATCTCTGGCCTAAATGGACCATAAAACATGTGTCACGTGACCGACGCATGATATAATATTTTCGTGACCTGTGATGACCTGACCCTGACCTGAAAATCAAAGTACAAGTTTGGTACCCTCAAGGTATCTAGAGCATCTGTTCACGAGTGTGGAAACCAAAAATGAGCCTGATCTGACTTGTAATACGGCGGCCAGAGCCCAAAATGTGAACAAGCCAAAGTGCTAATAATTTTTACTTTGACCTGACCTGTGACGTCATCGGTGACCTCGAGGTCAATGAAATTAGGTTTCGCTCGACAGTTTTTCCGGAGCTATCAGACGCCGTTTGAATTTTGACGATCGGCCCAGTAGTTTTGGAGTTAGGAGGGGGGGCTATGAATAGCCCCCCCCCCCCAGTAGGGCGTGTTATACACAGACCCCAGTGGGGCGCGGGTTAAGATCAGCAGGGTTTTATTCCCCTCACGAGCTGCTACCACTTTCGCCAATCATTCGCTATCGACCTCGGCCTTCCACTGACAAACCAACAACCACAGACGTGTTGTGATCGCGTTTATTGTGACTGGCAGGCGACTGTTGGATTACACAGACCCCTCACTTTGCTCGCAGTGGTCGGGTTCAGGCATTCACGAGCACAATAGCGCAGAAGGTAGCAGCTGTCGGCGGCTGTCGCGAGACCGTCGAGTCTCTACGCGTTCATACGGCCAGCAGTTATCAAGCATGAGAGAATAATTTTCTAATTTTCAGGAAGGCTATCTGTGGGACTCGAAGTAATCTGTAATGCTGAAGCATTGATAGCCAACAGGCATGGCATGGTGAGCACGCACATGAACACGCTCAAGCGCAATCCGTTTCGGCTGCATTCGAAGCGACAGTAGGAGGAAAGACGACTGCAGTCTGCGTGCGGAGATATTGTCCAGAAAGATGTCCCGAGGCGGCCAAAAGGCGCATCATTGCTATCGTAGGTCGCACATTTGATAGTCCCGTTTGAATGGTAGTCTCCACTTCCCAGGCATCATAAGGAAGCTAAACAGATCTCATGTAAGGTAAAAAGGGCTAGGAGTAGCCAAGAAAACTAATGTCGTAAGGTTTGTGAGCATGGGAGGCGCCGGACACATCATCAAATCGTCCAATGAAACGGTCAGTGAAGGCATCGTATCGAATAAAGAAGACTGAGTGCCAGGAGCGAGGCAACCGCCTGTTTTCACTAAACGACCTAAGCAATAATATACAAACAACGCAAAATTACTTAATCGTACACATACCTAAATATTCGTAACATTTACCGGCGGGTGGGGAAAAACGGCTCACAATGAGCGACATCGGATAATGAAGTCGCAGGCAGCCACCAAGCACACTTGAAACAGTCAGTCTAGCGCGACCATCCGACACGTAAAAATCGAGCAAGTCACCTGACACGATCCACATGCACCACAGAAGCTGATTACATTGCGAAGCCTTGCTGAGAAGCGTCCGAAGCATAAATGTGACCGTTCACGGAATAAGATTTTGGGAGTGATTTCCAGGACGGTACAAAAATGGCTGGAAGCCGATCTAAGTATGCACCTAATGAAGGTTTTGTACAGCTTCATTTCGCATCAGTCATGTCTCTGCACAACTGAGTGAAGAGTCACTCACTGTTGCCGATCACTCCATATCGGTGGAATGATGACCCGCCCCGGAAACACACAACCACCATCCTGCAATTTCAGATTCCATACATCATATAGCACACTAGGCTCAGCTCGGGAAAAGCAGAACCTGAACACGCACGCTACACATACCGCAAACACATGCACCTCTTTGGAGATACTGGTTAGCAGACGGTGAAATAATTTTCCAATACAAATGTTTTCGTCCTAAAACGTTTACACCGTTCTTTCAGTAGGATATATCGCACATCAACCATACGTTACGCGGCACTCCGGTTGGAACCGGGTCGCCAGATACTGTCGACCCACCAGTGACTCGGGAGGGGGAGGGGGGACTGTAGGATCTTCCGCCCCCGAAATCGCCTCCGAAATCTGCATCTGGTCCGGAACAGCTCGACCCGCCGGCGAGAGGGGTCGTTCGCTGTTTGTCCGTCTGATGCTGGTGACATCTATAACATTGATCGGTAGCGCCACCCTGAATAGTTCCAGCTCTGAGACAGACACTCGTCACCCGGCGCGGCGATCTTCCATATAATATCAGCGAGGAAGTTGACTATTCAGCCCCACTGAAGCATCATCATGAGGCGTGCTCGGTTCAGTCAGCCGACACTCAGCTGAGCTTCGGTCCACTGTGAGCGAGCACTGACTGACTGCACTCCTCGACGCTCGGCGGCGCCCCGTCCCGGGCCGAGACAGGCCCGCCGAGACCTGCAGCCTCCCCTAGCGACACCGCCAGCTCAGAGCCTCAGCAGCGACCAGCTGGCAGCCATCAGCAGCGCGCTGGCCGCCGTCGAGCCGGCCGCTGAGGACGCCGCTGACGCCCGAGGGGTGCTGATGTCCTTGGGTCCGATCAGCACCGCGTCGATGACGTGGATGTAGCCGTTGGTGCACTCCTCGTCTGCGCGCAGCACGCGCGCCTGCAGGCTTCTCCACTTGACCAGGTACTCTGGGAGAGGCAAGAAAACCATTCGGTAAGTGTGTATGTAGACATACAGGGTGTCCCATAAGTTCGTTCTCACCTAAATTTTACGTTTTTAGGCTCTCTTGCTTAAAGGCACGCTGAAATTGGTTCGTAACTGAGCTTACGTGGTTGCCATGGCTGGTAGAAATATGCTCCACAGTAACTAATTTCTGTGGACAAAATAGTTTTTGCTAGAGAGCCCGTTTCCTACAGAGACGGCTAACGCCGCAACATAGAGGTCTCCGATACGGGTACGTCTCGGTATTTAGTCAGCACGTGACCATTCGCGACGATTGAGGGTGATTGAGGCCTACCAGTCTGTAGACAATGTCCATCGCTAACTGGACGCACAGTCAGGCGCGTAACCACCACTGGGGACACTGGGGACCGGTCCCCAGTAACTTTTGGGTTACTGGGGACCGTCCCCAGTAAAACCGATGACCTCAATTTGCTTAAAAAACCAAATATTGTCTCTAAATTGACGTGAAATGTGGTCAACGGAAGACAAAACTATGGATGTTTTGTTCAGCCCGCGCCCGGGTAGGCCTCTCAACAACTTCGCCATGGTGGGGGTAGGTTCTTTTTGGCCACACCAGATTATCTCGGAAAGAAACAAGCTGGAAAGACGCGGTAAAAAGCAACATCTATAGCTCGCTACAGTATCTTCAGAATTACCTATGTCATTTTGATCAGGTCACCGCTGAGGTCACTGGAGGTCACCAAAGGTAAAATTTTCACGAACTTTTTGTTCCCAATTTTGACAACTTCTCATAAATCGGCGCACAAGTCGGCAACCAATAGAGCTGCAGTGCTGCGGGAAAGTGCATTCGATAGTTCTTTCAAAGGCCTTTTCTGAATAGTGTTCTCAGATTTGACCAAAGGTCAACGGTTTAGCCTTCAGGTTGGCGTTTTGGGGAAAAGGTTTTTGTATCATAACTTTTAACTCCAAACTTGTATGACGCTGATTTTACCGGCATCGCGTTTGTCTCGTCGAGACGCGTCGAATGAACTATACGTTGACCTATTTGACCCGAGGTCAAGGTCACGGAAAAGGTGATGTTGCATTGTCATTCGATTGGTATTGTTGAGCTGTTTTCATTCATGGTGTTTTTAGCGCTCTAGCATGTTTCTGCCTAGAGTTATGGTAAAAAAAACTATTGGAGATGTCTCATGACCTGAGATGACCTCAGGGGCATGGAAGGGGTCACAGCCACAGGAACAATTTTCCGGTTCAGTGTGTCATGTTTACCCGTGTCACGGTGTTTGAATGTGTTTTCGGCCAAAAGAAGAGCATTTCAATTTTTTTCTCATTGACTTATCGGAGGTCGCAAAATTGACGTGACATTAGGTCACCAACGTTAAAACTTTGAGGTATAGGTACGAATTGTCCATACTGATTTTCCTCATGCAAAATCTCGAGTTTCAGACTTCTGGGATGTAAACTGTAGGAATTAGAGATGCCACTTTTGAACCCGCGAACCCGCTTTCTGCGGGTTTTAAAAACCCGCAGGATTTGTTGCGGGTTCAAGAAGCACAACTTAGTCGTGTGGCGGGTATTTGGCGGTCATATCTTAGAACCTGTAAAATAATTTTCTTCTTTTTTTAATGCAAAACACAATGCTTGGTGCATTTGCTCAGGTTAACAATAAAATATTCAACAAAACAATTTTAAAACAGAAGCAAATATAAAAATATATCCAGGAAGCACATTTCAAATGCAAAACAACCAGCATCCACACTAGGAATGACAGTCATAATTTTTTTTAGAGGCTTGACCTGGTGACCTGACCTTAGGTGACCTGAGGTCAAAAGATTCACACGATGCGAAATTGAGGTATCATAAGCTATACCTACAAAGTTTAGCGGCGGTGCGCGCCGCGGTTTTCTTTACACGTGCAAAAAGAAATGGCAGGTGTGGCCAACCCCACTCTCCATTCGGGGAAAAAATTATCCTAAAATATAATAGGCATTTGATCTTCGCGGCCCACCATGTGGTCCCCAGTAACTTCAGACTCGTGGTTACGCGCCTGCGCACAGTCAGCAAGTGACGCCGATGATTTGTCGGGAGTCAATCACTGCAAGTTTATCCTCTTTCCAGTCAGCCCTCAGGAGTAAGCCAAGTGGCCAAAACTGTGTGGCGCCAAAGTGGCCATCAAAAAGGTCAGAGGGTTATAAAGTTGGCAAGCAGACTTTTCAGGATGGATTACCAGCTGTCGCTGTCTAAGAGTGTTCTTTCGAGGTACATAACTCAAGGTGACTTAAGCTTTGCTTACTGGAGGGCTCAAAACAGTCAAAAACGTCTTAAAATGGCCAAACATGAGTTTCGTTATGCCTGAGGCTAAAAAGACTAGAGAGCTGATGACATCAACCAGGTCATCTGGACTAACTAGTCCACGTTCGAGATGAAACACCCGTCCAAACCCGAAAACAACCCCATAAGGGCGAAGGAGGAGGCCTCCGTTTCGTCCCGTTATGTTCCTATGCAAAAGGCCAGGGTCGCGGTATTGTGGGGTTATAGGCGTCCAGACGCTGACCAGGTTGCGATTGGTGTTCCAGACCAGAAACAGCTTTGGGAAGCAGAATGCTTTTCCAAGAAAATCTAGGAGGAGTTTCAGCCCTCAAGCTGAACTCGAACCGCGAATATGAACACATTTATAGAGGAGAAAATGGCATCCGGGAGGTCGTAGGCCCATCTTCAGGCAAGACAGTGCATCAGTGCACAGGTCAAGCAAAGCTTAAAGGGACACTCCCACCTTAACATTAGTTTTGAGTTGAGATAGCCAAATTGGTGGCCATGGCCTGCAAATACCGGTTTGGGCACTCACAACATCGACAAATGCTTTAATTCGGAGATATGGAATTTCAAACTTGCAGTTTTCGGATTCTAAGGGGCTAGTGCATTGGTATGCCCCCTTAGAATTTGTGACGTCAGCGGAGATCTAACGATTTTTAAATCTTTTACTAAAACGTTTGGTAGCACGCGGTGGTATATGCTGCTTTGCGCGCAACAAATGCCGCACTTTCAAATAAAGTCGCTAGGAACAGCGGAGATCCCAAAAAGTAAACAAAAGTTAAAGTCTAATATCTTGAAAACCGGTGAATATTTTTCGATGAAATTTGGTAGATATTCGTTTTCGCTCTTTCTGAACCGAGCGACATCACTTTCGTGCCAATTCATTAACTTTTTTGAAGGTGGGAGGGTCTCTTTAACCCGCGCACCGACGGGGGGGGGCGGATATCCGCCCCCCTGAGGTTTTTCGCGGATAGCGGGAAAACCGCGGCGCGTAGCGCCGCGAAATTTGGTATGACTATTCTCTCATCAATTTTACACATGGTGTGCAAGTTTGAACCTCCTAACTTTTAAGGTCAGGTCACCAGGTCACTTTGAATGACCCAACCTCAAGTCACTTTTTTGCAACTTTGTCACCGTGCCAGAGCTACAGTAGATGTCGGAGGCCTTTGAAAGTCGCAGGATGTTATTAGGTCATTAGTAGCTACAATTTGTATATCTCGGAATTTTGATGTCGGTGACCTAAGGTCAGGTCAATTTCGCGACCTCCCCATTATAAGTCAATGGGGGAAAAATCAACTCCCTGTTTTTACCACTAAAACGGGTCGGAATGGCCCCATATACCATACATGACTTCACATACGATCAACCTTCACTACCTTGAGGTCTGTTTTGCTGTTGGGCAGCTGTAAGGTCATGTGACGTCATCAAAGGTCACCAAAGGTTTTTTGCCAATAACTCCTTACAGGAACAAGGTACAGCCGCGCGGATGGTCTCATTGTGTTCAGCTCGTCAAGACGCATCGAATGATATACATGATGACCTCGAGGTCACGTGACCTGAGGTCAACCTTTGACCTTGACCTTTCGAGGTCAACATATATATCATTCGATGCAAATTGACGAGAGGATCACGATGATGCCCTTAGTTTGTTCCTATCTTGACTACTTCGAAAGTTATTCGAGAAAAACCCTCTCCATATCTAGCGCCGCCATTTTGACTTTTTCGACCCCTGTGACGTCATCTTTGACCTGACCTGAAAATGACCTTAGTAAAAATTGTAGACCTTGTCCGTGCGTATCCGATGCCGTTTACCGCTTGTCGCTATCTTGCTTCGTTCTCGAGATCTCAGGGGGGGGCGGTCATCCGCCCCCCCCCGTCGGTACTAAGTTGGCGCAGACCCCCGTCGGTGCGCGGGTTAAAAGCGGTGCAAGGAGACTGTGACAAGCGTTTGTGGCAAGATCACATGCCAGGCACCTCATCGGATCAAAATTTCATAAAAATGTGTTGGTTATGCTGAAATTTAGGCTCGTCGAAGCGTAGCGCTGTTCCAGCCTCGAGGAGCTCCCGGCGCATGTCAAGCCAGTCTGGGTTAACTTTAAGCCTGCTATGCAGCCAAACATGCCGGTTGGCATGCCGCAGCATGTATTCATGTGTTTGCCTATTAAATGGGGAGCACATTGAGGGGTTATAAATATATCAAAACGCAATGTATTCTGTTTCACATGCAAATATAATGTGAGAACGAACTTATGGGACACCCTGTACGCTCTACCAATCGACGCATCAGGTCATGTCTGTTATAAGTTATAACCACGCTCGAGCCAGGTCCAAATGGGTGCGCTAGAGACAAGCAGCACATTTATCTCGAAAGACGTTTGAGGAAGCCGATTGGAACAAAATATATAAAGACAGGAATATAAGAACCGAATCGACATTAAATACCCTACCTACACTTGAGTGTAGTGACCTTTATCCGCCCGACAACGGCGTCGCCCCAGCCCAATCGATACCGTCGTAATGAACCGTCGGCCATTGATTTTCCAATAGATCGGCTGCCAGGTCACCGACACAGTGTAATTGGACAGCCGGCGTGCCGTGTGGAAATACCTCCGGAAGCAATATCGTCCCTGTTGTCAGGTCGGGTGCCGACGGCAGATTTAGCGTCATTTCCGCGACGAAACTGTCGCTTCACTACCAACAGATCGACTGCATCAGACTATGCCAGCAGCATCAAGCTTTCCTGAGGGTTTATCCCTAGTCGCCAGTGACACCTACCTTGCGATCCAGGCATGTGCTCCACCTTGACCGTTTCGCCGTCAGTGGTGGTGACACTGCCATTCGCCGCAGTGATGTTGGCCATCTCCTCAATGGTGAGCGCCTGGTCCGCTATCATGTGACGCTTCAGCACGGCGAGGACCTGCGGCAGCGGAGGACGGCAGATAGTCAGCGGACGGAGGACGGTGAGGGTACTGAGCTCAGCGACTATCCTTGCCAGCCTGAGCTACCCCGTCTACATTCTGAGTGAAACCGCCCCTTCAGGCCCCATCTCCGGGCTAAGGAAGCCTTGACCCAGAGAGGTCCTACCTCCAGAGAGGATCTGCATTCCCAGCCTAATCAACCCTGAACACTGAACCGGAGTGACCCCACCTCCAGGTCTGATAACTGACTTCGGGTGACTTCTGGTCGGCGAAGACGGCGTTGTAGGAGGTGTTGAGCTGTGCCTTCAGTCGCTGCCAGGCAATGTCAGACGGCAGCAGGAGTGTCATCTTCTCCGCCGACTTCAGCTGCTGGGTGAACCCACTCTCACGGGCCAGTGAGCTCGTCAGGCTGTCGGGGAAATAGCAAAGTTAGACGTTTGAGACGTCGCAGGACCTCATTTACGTAATGTTTCAATGAACAGATGGGGCCGGGTAGATAAAATCAGCACGAATCCGAATAGTCCGTTGTCTCGTATGAATCCAAGCAGTCCCATGTCCACTGGCTGTTGCACTCCACTCATTTTGTGCTCCACTGCTCACCCTTAACCGTTATCGGACTGGTTTGAACCCAGATCGGTCTGCCCAACTGCACCCTCAAGCTGACCTCAGAGCTGACCCCCGACTAGCCCACCCAGCTCTCAGACTAACTTGACCTCCCCGTGTTCGCGCTGACCTGGTCACTAGCTGACCCATCCCTCCTCCGCACTGACCTGGCCACTAGCTGACCTGACCTCCCCGCCCTCGGACTGACCCGGCCACTAGCTGACCTGACCTCCCCGCCCTCGGACTGACCCGGCCACTAGCTGAACTCGCCCACCCCGCCCTCGGACTGACCTGACCACTCGCTGACCTGACCCACCCCGCTCTCGCACTGACCTGGCCACGGGGTCGGTGCTCAGTCGCTCAGCCACCGTCTGGTACGGAATGCCCAGGAAGCGGTCGATGATGTGGATGACGCCGTTGGACCGGTCGATGTCGGGTATGATGACGGTGGCGTTGGTGCCGCCGCCCTCGACGGTCAGCGTTCGCTCCAGGCCGCCGTCACCGGTCAAAGACAGGTACAGGGAGCGGGAAGGCGCGTCCGATGCCACGCTGTAAGGCTGAGAAAGCAAGGAGGGCCGTCAGAGAAGGGCCGTCACCAGCCACAGAGAGGTACAGGGAGCGGGACTGACGGCACGGTGTAGGGCTGGAGGAGGGGTGTTTGCGGTTACAGTGCCGGCGGAATAGAGGCAGACTGTCCTAGGAAGGAACGAATGGTTGTAATCTGAGCTGAGCTGATCCTTTGGATGGGTGGGAAAGTGGAAAAGAGCCAGAGGAATAGAAGCACATGGCAAGGCTTGACGGCTAACTCCTTATAATTGCGTTATAGTTGTCTCACCGGTGTCACAAGCCCGTGGAGTATCAACGCAGTTCGTGAGCCTTGTGACGTAACTTAACCCTCGCCCGTATAGGAGGGGGGGGGGGGTCGAACGGACCCCCTCGGTTTTTCGCGAATAACTCGCGTAAAAAGCGGTCGATCGCGACGAAACTTTCAGTACCCTCAAGTTGATCAATTTTACACCTACCCTGAAAATTTCATGACCCTGACCCAAATGACCTTTGACCTGTGACCTACTTTTCGAGACCATGTTTGGCCGGAATCGCGATTCGGCGTATGTCGGCTCGCATTAGCCGCGCGTTTGCAGTCTTTTCGTGGTTACAAGCGTTCAAACATGTGATATGATGCTGCCCCCATGCATTAGGGTGGGTTTCAAGTAGAGGTGGCAAAATGTGGACCCGAGGACCCGGTCCAAAGAACCAGTCTGGACCCATATGGGTCCAGACCGGTTCCTGAAAATTTTCTGACGGGTCCAACCGGGTCCTACCATAAACTATACATCTTGCACACTACACATTAATGCAAAATATGAAGTGAATGAAGTGAATGTTTCTTTGCACACAGTAGCTCATGAGTATTCCCAGTGGAAAAAAGCTGTTTTACATGATGCAACTAATGATACCTACAAGTAGTTAGTATTAACTATTAATTGACTTTTGGGGAACCGGGTCCAACTGGTTCCGATTCCAACTAAGGCCGGGTCCGACTGGTTCCAGAAATGTCCAGCCGGGTCTGGTTCGAGTCTGGTTCCCAAAATTTTCATCTTTTGCCACCTCTAGTTTCAAGGTCACCTGAAGGTCAGGTCAGGTCATTGACCTTTGATGACCTCGGTTCACTTTTCGAGTTTTACATGTTTTGAGGCCAGTTTTTGGAGCTGAATTCGACTTTAGCAACCATATGAACATTTACGAAGTAGTTTTGGTGCCTTCGTAACATGTTATGTATTTAAACTCGCACAGAAATAAAACCGACTTCGCAAAAACAACGCTCGGCGGCCGCCCCGCGCCGCTCCCTCCCGCGCTCCCTCTCGCCGACGACTCGCCGCTGATCCATTTTCCACAACAAATCCCAGCCGCACGCGACAACTCACACGCGCGCCGTGCACCGGACGCGCCTCCGCACAGCGGCAACTACACCTCCCCCTGATCCTGAGGATCATTTACATCCCTCACAGAAACATCCTTGCGGAGGACGGCGGGTGCGCTGACTTCGCCGAGGAGCCACGGCAGGAGGCTCCGGCGCTGGAGCGTCGCATAACTCCGGCCCCTGCTCAACTGGAGCCGGCTGGAGGACTGGGAGAGACGGGGGATCCATCACGTAGATGGGGTCGTCCGCGTCAATTTCAGCACATGGGGGCGGCTCACTATTTCTGCGCCGCAAATCCCTGACGTGTCGTGGCATACCGTCCACATCGACAACCTGCGGAGAGACCACCGCCGTGACGGTACCCCGGCGGGACGGCTCCGTGCAGCGCGTCCCACGGCGGCGCACCCACACCGCGTCTCCGACTGTGTATGGGCCCGTCTCCACCGCAGGGAGCTCCCGCGCCCCGGCCCCACCGTCCGCGGCCGTCCCTGGCGGAGCAGCCGGCAACCGCACACAGTCACTCGGCTCGTACCTGTACACGCCACAAAACGGAGCGCTGGCCACCGCCTCGCCGTCACGCGGCGTCACGTTATACAAGTGTACCGCCTCGGCGATATCGCACCGTTTCCGGGCGGCGATCACTTTCACTGTCCGGTGGCAGCGCTCGATGACACCGTTCCCGCTCGGTGCATGGGCCGCCCGGAACCTCACAGCCACTCCCCAGCGCGCGGCGAGCACGGCAAACGGTCGGCCGCGGAACACAGGATCGTTATCACACAACAGCTCCGCCGGAGCTCCTCGATCAAAAAATATCTCCTCCAGCCGCTGAATAACGCACACACTGTCCTGCCGTCGCAGCGGCCGCCATACAGTGAACCGCGACGGCCCGCAGTCGATTACACTGAGGTACGGATGGCCCCCATAATGAGTTATATCAATGGCCAGTCTGTGCCACGTCTGTGGTACACCCAACGACCCGTGTCGCCACTTTACTGGAGCCGGGTCGATCGCTCGACAGACATCACAATTTGTCACCACGGCGCGTACCTGGTCTCTCGAGACGCGGCCGATACATCGGCGAGCAAAATACAATGTCCGTCGGACGCCCGGATGACCAGCTCGCTCGTGCACTTCAGCCACGCTCTCTGCACCATCGAGGCTCGCGTTTACAGCGTTCGGCTCGTCCGCTGTGGCCGCGCTTACTGCCGACGGTTCACCCACCGCGGCTGCGCTCACTGCCGGCTCGTCCGCGGCAGCTACTCCCACTGCCGACAGCCCGCCCGCTGCGGCCGCGCTCACTGCCGACGGCTCGCCCGATGCAGCCGCGCTCACAGCCGCCGCGCTCACTGCCGACGGCTCGTCCGATGCAGCCGCGCTCACAGCGGCCGCACTCACTGCCGACGGCTCGCCCGCTGCAGCCGCACTCACAGCGGCCGCGCTCACTGCTGACGGCTCGCCCGCTGCAGCCGCGCTCACAGCGGCCGCGCTCACTGCCGACGGCTCGCCCGCTGCAGCCGCGCTCACAGCGGCTGCGCTCACTGCCGACGGCTCGCCAGCCGCGCTCACGGCGGCCGCGCTCACTGTCGACGTCAGATCGTCTCGGAGCCACTCCCTGGGCACTCGAGTCAGTGCATCAGCGCGATTATCCGCCGATCGAACGAGCGCCACTGTCAGACGGAGCTCCAGCTCGATGACCAGCTGACGAATAATCGCCACACGCCGTCGGATGAGCAGCTCGCCGCTGGCTTTAGTACGGAGGCGCGCGCGGCCACTGATCGCGTCGTCGATCCACCGCTTCACCGTCACCGAGTCGGTTCGGAGATCGATTCTCCGTGCGCCCCACGCAACTGCCAAGTTAATGCCTCGAATAGCGGCATCGAGTTCGGCCATATTTATGTGTACAGCGTCGTCTCGCCTGAGCCAGCATGCGTCCTCGATCACCTCACCGTCTGTGTTTTCCAGGACCACTCCGGTGGCCAGCGAGCTGGCGTCTGTCCAGGCGACCACCTCGTCCCCGTCGACACACCACACGCCACGGGCCGGGTCGTCACTGGCGAGGCGACTCGCGATACAGTCCATCTGCACGCGCAGCGCGGCGTCATCAGTGATGTCGTCCCATCCGCGCGTCAGCTCATTTACACGCCGCTTAAGCCATGCGACCGCGGGTCGAAGCCACCCACACACTGGTACGTGGGCCACTAGCTGTCCGCACCACGCGAACACAGATCGGCGAGTCACACGTTCTGGCGGCGCGCTCACGGCATTGTCCCGCTTCCACCGCAGCTGCCCGTTCTCCTCGTGCACCCGCAGGCCCAGGAGCCGCGCTCCACTGGCCGCCCGCTCCGGCGGCTTACAGTCCAGTCCAAACTGCGCGAAATGCGCCACCACGCGCTCGGCACTGACTATGTCCTCATTTACAAGGAGGTCGTCCACATATGGGAGGACGGCACGCCCGATGTCGGGGTCCTGATCGAGCACAGCACGCACGACAGCCTTCATCACGAGGGGCGCGATATTCAAACCAAAACCTAGGCGGGTCAAACAGAATCGCTGCCCCCGCACCATCACCGTCTGAAACGGCCAGAGTCGCTCCTCCAGGTGCAGCTGGAGGTAGGCACGCTTCAGGTCCACGACCGCCACATTTGCGCCGTGCCGGCGCCACTTGCGGAGCTGTTCCGCGCACACGTCGCTGTCAGCTGTGTGAGCCTGCACAAAGTCATTCAGTTCTCGGTAGTCCAACACCGGTCGAACTTTCCCCCGATTGCGCTGCTCCACAGCCATTAGCGGCACCAACCCTTTCGGCGGCCCCTGCCGCCGCTCGTCATACGGCACGAGCCACTCCCGCTCTATCCAGTCGTCAAGTTCTGTCTCGAACTCGTGACGAGCGGCGGGCGGCACAGCATACTGCGGCACAGCGTTCGTGAGGCACTGGGGTCCGATCCCATCGGACCATTTCCATGCAACCGACCACTTCCGGGCAGCCGCGTTGAACTGCACCCGGAAGTCCGGCGTCTCAATGTCTGGCGGCGCACGACACACTGCTCCACAGAACCGCACCACAGAGGGGGACAGCACCGTCACGCCCCCGAGAGCCGAGATACCGCTGACCCCGAGCACCATGTCCACGCCGAGCGGCCGCTCCTCCACCACCAGCGTTTCAAGCGCGGCACGATGGCCCGTCGGCGCCTCGACCGTTACACTGCCAATGCCGCTGCATTTCAGGTCGTCGCCGCTGATCGTGGTGACGCGCACCACCCGTCGCCTCCACTGCGCACAGAATGGCGCGTAGATGATGGTGTCGGTGCTCCCGGTGTCGATGAGGACCGTGCACTCTCGTCCGTCCACGTGCAGGCGTGTAATCGGCAGCGCACCGCTCACTGTCGCGCAGGAGAGAACGGCGGTGCTGACCCGTCCCCTCCGGCTCCGTTTTCCGACTGACGCGGACATCTCGCAGCAATATGGCCGGGCTCTCCACAGGTCCAGCATCTCAGCGGACGCGGACCGCGCGGAGGCCGTCCACGCGTCGGCCCCGGCGGCTGGCCGGGTCCAGGCGCCGCAGATGGGTGGCTAGCCGGCGGCGGCACAGTCCGACGCGCCGCTGCTGCTGCTGCGGAGAGCCGCTCGTCGGTCAGCACAGCGCGAGCGCGCGCCAGCACCGATGACAGGTCCAGTCCATCTGCCCGGCAGCCAGCGCGGATCATCTGCCGGACGCTGTCCGGCAGGCCTGCCACGAATGCGCAGGCCAGCGCTCGCTCCGGCACTCCTCCGAACAGCGCCGCCAGCCGGCGGAGGTCAGCGAGGAATACGTCCGCCGACTCTCCTGGCATCAGTCGCCGAGCGGCGAACGCTTCATAGGCGGCGTACTCATCGAGAGCAAACGCCGCCTGGAGGGCGTCTCTCACGGCCGTCAGCGAGCAGCGACTGGCCGCCGGCAGCTGGGACCATACGTGGAAAGCACCGCCGGCGAGGCGCAGAGGAATCACAGTCTCGGCGGCCACTCCCCTCAGCTGGCACAGCATCTCAGCACGCGCCAGCCAGCTGACCACATCTTCGGTCCCGTCAAACTCCGGTATCAGCCGCGCATCAAAAGGTGCCGACGGTACCGCGACCACAGGCTGTGAGACGGTTGCCGAGTCTGTCACACCACCATCACCAACCGGCACCGGCGCTGTCACCGGTCGCGGGACGATTGTCGGCGCCACCGCACTTGCCATCACCGGAACCTGGTCCAATGACACTGTCACGTTCGTCGTCATAATGCCGAAATAGCTTGTATTTAAACTCGCACAGAAATAAAACCGACTTCGCAAAAACAACGCTCGGCGGCCGCCCCGCGCCGCTCCCTCCCGCGTTCCCTCTCGCCGACGACTCGCCGCTGATCCATTTTCCACAACAAATCCCAGCCGCACGCGACAACTCACACGCGCGCCGTGCACCGGACGCGCCTCCGCACAGCGGCAACTACATGTTACGAAGCTGTCAGAGCCGGTTGACACCTACTACGAATACCCGGCAGGACTCCTACTGATTGACCTGACCTGACCTGACCCGACCTGGCCTAAATGCATGAAGACATCATCTGTGATCAAAACTAGCATGATATTCGTGATCAGCACCCCGAAAAACCCCATAGCAGCCACATTTTACGACGTTCTGACAGGTCCCGATTTTCCCGACTTTTGGGTCATTGACCTGACCTGGAAGGTCAACCAATGACCTAGGACCTTAAAATTGGGTATCATCGGCTTCCTCTCGTCACGGGCAACACGCTCGTTTTTTTCCGCGAAGCTCTAGCTCCGTCAGGGGCGAAACGGCAAGGGGGGTCCAACGGATCCCCCCCCCCCTTATACGTTCGCGGCTGGAAAAACACCAATACGGGCGAGGGTTAATGCAAAATATACGCATTGCACCCCAGAGTTGGCCTGTGACCTGCGCGGTCCCGCCACTGACCTGGCTCTGCGCGAGCTTCCTGACGCTCTCGGTGGTGACTTTATGGCTGACTACGTGCAGACTGAGCAGCTCCTGGAGGGCCTCTGGCGTGGCGATCAGCTCCTTCAGCCTGCCGAGGTAGACGGATATGCCGGTCAATGGGGATTGGGAACGGACGACGAGCAATGAGTGAGCTGGGTGCTCGGTTGTGAACAGAGCCGGATCCAGCTCAGAGTTTTTTTTTTGGGGGGGGGGAGGCAAACCATAAAATTTATCGATTCTTTCCATGCATCGTCCATAGTCGTAATGTTAAAATTATGCCGTTTGGGGGGGGGGGGCAAATGCCCATTTTGCCCCCCCCCCTGGATCCGCCACTGGTTGTGAACCAATAGTAATTACCGGACTTGAATAATATGAAAGCAGGTGGCTCGAATGAGCTCAGAACCAATATTTTCTAGAGAACAAGCGACGAATATACATTGCTAACGTATTACCTGCATATTACGCACGGATAACAAAAGCCGGTACGAAGGTGCTGTGGGTAGGGTATTTTGTTCAATACGTTTTTCATGTTGAGAAATGGCCAACCAATTCAAAGACCTTTGGCCAAACATTTTCATCATGGTTAGGCAAACTCAACAAATATCGTGTTTTCACGGCCCACTGATTTACCTGCGCTGATTGACGTTGTAGAAGGCCTCGTTGGAGGGGATGAAGATGGTGAAGTAGCTGGTGGTCATCAGTTTGACCATGAAGTCACTGGCGTGCCTCTGCAGAAGCTTGTGGAACTCGTGAAAACGATCGTGCTGGCCCTCCTATGGGACAAATGAAACGGTAACATTGCTGCAACCGATCAGACGATCAAGACGTAACGTACTTTTAAAGTCGAGATATGGAGACACCTAAGTGAAGTTTTATGAATTTTGTCTTTTTCAATTATGGTATAAGGGAAGGGGCGAAATTCAAGCAAAACAGATAATACGTCAGTTCACTATTTCTACCGGTTAAAGCTTTATCTATCAACGCAGGTAAATTACACGAAAGTATATAGGCAAGAGAAGGAAGGCCCGTATCCTCGTATAGTTGGTATCCATTCAGCCTATTCAGCAGCGGCCCAAAGAGCTCAGATGACGAAGCCAAGGAAGAAAGTCCGCAGCTCTGTCGGAGCACTAATTGAGGCACAGTTCCCTGTTCCCATCTACCCCGCATCTCCGGTCCTTCGGATGACGGATACCTACACCAGAATCAGACTGAGGGCGCCGCCGGATCGAAGTAGCACTAGATAATTGAGGTTCGGTTCCCTGTGCCGTCTACCCTGTATCTCCGGCTGTAGGTTCGGTTCCCTGTGCCGCCTACCCTGTATCTCCGGCTGTAGGTTCGGTTCCCTGTGCCGTCTACCCTATATATCTCCGGCTGTACCCACCAGAATCAGACTGAGGACGTCACCGGAGGCCACCATCAGCGGCTTCTCGATCAAGTGCACCACGCCGTTTTTCACGGCGATGTTGGGCTTCACGACCTTGGAGAGCACCGAGCCGGCCTGCAGCAGTATGTTCCCCACGAGGATGGTGCTCTGGGCCTCATCTGTGGAGCACAAAGATATGCCAGTTATGTAAGCATTTATCATGGACTACGACCGATGTGTGAGTCAAGATGATGAATAAACGAAACAATTAACAACGACATGAATAGCACATTCTTTCAATCAAACAGTGCGAATCGTTAACGAATGTCGACTATTCTGCAGACCGCTAGCTAATCATAATTCATGCGATTAATAGAAAAGTCTTCGGTAGGTAATCGGCCATAGCTCCAGTCGTAGCCAACATTAGCCCCGTTTACATAGGGATTGTTGCAAGCTTATATCTCCGCCCGTTATGTTGCAAAAGATGCCAATGATGCTTAAAATTTACCAAATTATCCCCTCTAACTATGCAAAGGTCATCACATCAAAATTATCGCAAAATTAATAAGCAGAGACTCGTCAAAAATGCTATGTAAACGCGTTTATTGGCATAGTAAAGGACCGCTAGGATGCTGCGCCGCACGGCACGTGGGCAATGCGGCACAGCCTATGCGTCAGGCATACGCATTCAGCAGATAACATATACGCATGGGTGGAGAACCTGCCCCGGCCACCCCGGCCGTGGCCGGGGTAACTTTCAGCCTACCCCGGCGCGGCCGGGGTAACTTTTCCACTCTTGTAAATCCTAGAAGCTGTCTCCAAACGAGAAAAGAAAACTCGTTCTTCAAATGTTCACTGCCGTGGGCGTAATATTGCAAATCAGGTAATTTTTGCTATTTGCTTAACATACCATAATCTCCAACCCCAGGACCCGCGTGTGGTCGCCAATGCCAAGACTGCTCTCAAATCGGGTTCAGTTTCGAAAATTTGGCGCGTTTTCGGCGCACTTTTTCTGAAACAATGCTTGACCTCGCTGCCTTCGACTGGCCTGCCAGTGCCAAAGACCGCAACCATACCTGTTTATAATAGCGTACTCGTCACTCGTCAGGATGCTCATAAACACCGAGCGTCCGTTGCACGCTTCGAAATCGGACTGTTGTAACCGGGACGCGTACTCTTGCCACGCGGAGTCCAACGCTCTACCGACTGAGCTGCGAGACCGGGACCGGTCGATATTCCTGGATCGACTCCCTGTTTGTTTTATAGGAGGTTGAGCTGCCCAACATTGAAGAAAGCTGCGTAAGGGGTTTGCTTATGATGACCGTTGACAACAATGTGAGCATATCGTCTTTCCGACTATTGGTCGCCGGCCGGGGTAACTTTTTCAAACATTCTCCACCCATGCATATACGTCACATTTGACTTGTAGATAGAGTTAGTGGCGGTTAGCGACACAGCTTAAGTATTTATTGATTATAGTATGTCTACTAAATGTTAGCTCCGTGAATTACTTCGGTGCCATGAGCCAAGTCTCAATACAAAGTTACAAACCCCATACTTTTGGTCGAATTCAGAAACGACACAAGCGTTATTTGAGACTATGGAGGGAATTTCATGAAATGCTCGATGTGGTGAAATAAAACTAATGTCGTATGCGGACATCGTCTTCCTCAATCTATACCATTTTTTAATTTACGTGACTCACCTACGCCAGTTCGTACCATATGGCGCTAACAGTGTCTGCGCCACGTGCTCTGCGGCGCAGTATCTTAGCGGTCCTTTACTATGACAAGGTCGACTATCGACTGAAGCATAGGACCGATTACCGAAGATGTTTCTATAAATCGCATGAATTATGATTAGCTAGCGGTCTACAGAATAGTCGACATTCGTTAACGATTCGCACTGTTTGATTGAAAAAATGCGCTCTTCAGTATTCGTGTCATTGTTTCGTTTATTTGTCATCCTAACTCGGACATCGGTCGTAGCCCATGATCAATGCTTACATAACAGTGT